GTAAAGTTTTTTTACAATCAATAATTAAAAAAAAAATTAATTTCTTGCTTTTATTATGTGCGCAATATATAAAACTGTTTGGGATTTTTTTTTTTTTTTAATATAAACAACTTATAAATATTTAAGTTCTTTGAACATTTCCTGATTTGAGTGCCATCCTTCACAAGTTTCAAACATGTTCAAAGTCACAAACAATCAACAGCAGCTTTAACTCACCTTCAATCCTTTCATCTCATCTAATGGACTCACACCATCTCTTCCTCTCTTGCTTCAACTGCAAAGGAAACTTAATAAACTAATAAACTTACATAAACTTGCAAATCTTTACGCTCCAGGATTGGATCGCACGCTGGAATCGAAGCTGACGCCCGAGGAATATATCAAGGAGACGCATGCAGTGCCTGGCTTCAGCGAGCTGCTCGCCCAGCTGCAGAGCGAGACGGCGGAGACATTGAAGATTGAGAGCAAGCGCTATCCACGTATCATATTCCTCGGCACCGGCTCCTGCATTCCGAATAAGACACGCAACGTCAGCTCAATTCTCATCCAGACCGCGGCGGAGGCATTCATGCTGTTCGACTGCGGCGAGGGCACGCACGGCCAGATCGTGCGGCTCTTTGGACGAGAGCGTGCCCGTGAGGTGATGCTGCAGCTGCAGGCTGTCTATGTCTCCCACTTGCATGCCGATCATCACATCGGACTGATTGCGCTGCTGCGCGAGCGACAGCGGCTGGAGCCGTCGTCCCCGTTGCTGCTGCTGGCTCCGCGTCAGATCGAGCCTTGGCTGAACTTTTACAATCGTCAAATCGAACCAATTGCCGATGCCTACACGCTGATGGGCAATGGCGAGCTGCTGGAGCAGCCGCTAGCGGGCGAGCGTGTCGAGCAGCTGGGCGTTAACTCGATAGCCACCTGCCTGGTGAGGCATTGTCCGCATGCCTTCGGCATCAGCCTCACGCTGCAGGCGCAGCACGAAGGCGAGCCGATCAAGCTGACCTACAGCGGCGATACGATGCCTTGTGCAGATCTGGTGGAGCTGGGTCGCAACTCAACGGTGCTGATACACGAGGCCACCATGGAGGACGATCTGGAGGAGGAGGCGCGCATCAAGACGCACAGCACCATCTCGCAGGCCATTCAACAGGGTCGCGACATGCAGGCCAAGCACACCATCCTCACCCACTTCTCGCAACGCTATGCCAAATGCCCGCGCCTGCCCAGCACCGAGGACATGCAGCACGTGGCCATTGCCTTTGACAATATGCAGGTGACCGTGGAGGATCTGCAGCACTATCACAAGCTCTATCCAGCACTGCTGGCCATGTACGCCGAGTACACCGAGGAGCTGGAGCAGCGCGCAGTGAAACGAGAGCTCAAACAGGAGAGAAAACGCAAATTGGCACAGACGTGATTAGGGCACTAGATGAGAGAGAGAGAGAGAGAGAGAGAGAGAGAGAGAGTTATGAAAGGTCTTCTTGATAACTGTATACGAGCTAGGGATTTTTTTTAGCTACCGTGATAACTGGCGCATATATTTAAAGGTTCTTAGCCTTAAGCTGAGCCTGAACTTTAAAGAAAGTTTGATTCTAATAAAAGCTTACCTAAAGATAGATATAGCACATAAATTTAGAGCTATGCAAGCCTATGCAGCATAATTTTTATAATAAAAAATATAAGTATAAATAAAGTATATAAGTATAATAA